ATATGGGAGTTGAAGTCGGTTTTTTTTTTGCTAAAAATTACTGGTTTTAACGTATGGTAGCATACATTTTGTGTTACTGTCAGCCATTGTTATTTCTGCTTGTTTGTGAAATGTGCAAACGTTTGTGAAAACATTTATAAACGCGTTTTACTTAATTAATTAATTAAGAATTGTATATTAAAGTGGAAATCTCATGCCGGGGTTTTAATGTAACTATTTTGAGGAGGGTGTACATAAATAAAGTGTTTATTGTGTGAAATAGCGCCGAGAGGTTAGTTCAATTTACAAACTTTAACAACAAATAACTTAAAAACTAGAAGCCTGCTGCGGCTAAAAGTATATATATTTGCAATCAGGAGAACTCCCTCTATCCTTCCATAGCTACCTTAATGCGGAACTCCGGGGATGCCAAACTAAATTGCAGCCTGTAACGGGCCCAATGGTTGCGTCTATTTCAAATATGAAATATGTACACATGTGTATATAATTTATATATATGTATGTATGTATATTAGAGTGGTTCAACAAATTTGTTTTTGGAAATTCATAAACGCTACCTCAAATTATTGTTATTTGCAGAGACTGAAAATTAAAGTTATTTTAAAATTTTTGATATCAAAAAGGCATAGTGAAAAAATTATGTTATAGCTTTTTCAAAGGTACCATTAGACTCGTCTCTCATTGTAGATTCTGATTCCTCCATGACTTTTAAAAATATGACTTTTATCACTTTGAGGAAATAATACCGATTATTTCTACTTTTTATTTTTTTTACGGCAAAAATAAAAGTTAAAATTTGCCTTTTATTTCTTTGAGCAGAAAATAATCGGTAATTGTTGACTTTTATTTTTTCAGGCAAAAATAAAAGTCAAAGTTAAAAATCAAGTATTCCAGAGCTGTGTATATTCGAATGAGACAGTTTTGAAACTCCTACCTGGATTTTAATAACCCCTATACCCAAATACCAGGGTTTGTTCAAATCTATATACATATATGTATATGTACATATAATACATACGGTGACCATATTTACGAGAGCCGAATACGGGATAAAAAATAACTTTTAAAATTTGCTCCACAAGCTTACAGATCTTAAAGCCTTCCTCAATGATCCTAGATGTATTAGCCCTGAAACAATATCCTTATAAGGACTTAACTTAAAGTATAATTATAGTAACATAACAAATTTGTAGGATAATTTTCTCGAGATTTTGACCACGTAATATTTGGTAAAAAATGTCGTTAAATTTTAGTATAATAAAGTGCAACTTTAAGTCGCTAAGGCTTACCATTAATTTTTCGAAATTTTCTATGTTGACGGTGTTACGCATTTTTTTCATACAAAGTATGTTCGACCATTTTTTTAAAAGAGAAGCAAATGGGCAGCACTTTCCACTCGCACTTTATAATATTCTATTTTAATGAATTACAAAACTTCAAACCAAATATTTTTCTAGTAATTCTAATTAAGAAGATTGAAATTTTGGTGAAACTTGCAGAATTAGTTTTTATAGTTTTTTGTACAAAGTTGGAAATTCGGTATTATATGATTTTTGTTAGGAAAAGAGCTTTACTTTCATAAAATAAATAATAAACATTAAATAAACTAGGGAAAAATAGCCAAAACTTACTAAATAAAATGTCGAGTCCTAATTTCTATTTTGGTCACTGTATGTATTTCTCGATTCGAATCACAGGCATTCAGATTAGAAAACAATAACTGTTTATGGAGAAAATTAGGACCATTTACCAATATCACTTAAAACTCGTTAAGGCGTCGAAACACCGAATACGGAACAAATACGGGACATTAAAAGAAATACAGAACATTTGGCGTCCCGTATAAAATAAAAAAATTACCAGGGCAATGGGTCAAACAAGACTGCCCCGTATAATACAGGACGGATGGTCACCGTAACAATACATGAAGGGAGTCTTCCAAGGTACATTGAACAGGTAGTATCAGTAGAGCAGCTGATTTGATTTATTTTCAAATTATTTGGTCTCGAAAATGTCAAATATTTTTAATTTTTTCTCACAAAAATTCTGAATTGTTAAAATCCATTTGCATGTGAAACCTTTT